GGTGCAGAGCCAGTGCAGCATCTCTTCAGAGCCAGCCAGCGACTCATCTAAACAAGAAAAATCATGGATCTCTCAGCTTGGTGGTTGAACTTCATTTTCAGCTCTCTTGGCTCATGACCAAAGAGCTTAAACAACATAGTGCTTACTTAAATTGGACTTCACTGACGTTTTGTTTAAAAACTGAATCCTGCTGTAATTGCAGATCCATTGCTAGGCTTTTTGAAGTATGCACACAGAGGATGTTACAAACCCAAGCCGTAGGAAAGGCCTGAAGTATATTCTAGCTGGTCTATTAATGCAGGTTTGGAACTCGGAGGACACTAGTCGTTGGACAGCTGGCATAGCTCAGTAATAATTTTATTACAGTCTTTGCAATTATTTTTCTCTTGGATTCTGTTCTGTAACTTTTCTCTCCTTTTTCATCACGTGACCTCAAAAGAGTGTTAAGAAACTTAGTACTGGATTTTTAAGAAAATCTAAATGAAATCACAAGGCTCATCAAAGTATATATTTGCCTGCAAATATCTGGAATGATTGAGGCATGGGAGTTCACGTTTAAATAATCTGGTGGACTTCCTTGAAGATATATTACTGTGATAGATAAGGGAAATTCATTATATGTAGAGTCTTCTAATTTTCAAAAAACGTTTGGTGTTAATCAGAGTCTCGTGTCTAAAGTAAAGATTTATGCAAGGATAGTTTCAGGAAGTCCTGTGAAAATATCTTGCTCCTATTTGGATAGAAAATAAAAAAATACTGATCATAGAATTGATCTCCTTCAATTTGACTGTGTTTTATTTCATACCAACCCAAAATGTCGATAAAACATAATAAGAAACCTGAAACCTTTTGTAGTGTCCAGCCTCATGACTGAAATGGAGAGAAGTAACAAAGGTTTGTTTACATTTAGCCTATATCAGTTTGATAAAATGGCATAAAACTTTGTTAATAGAAAGCTGTCTACAAACAAAGCTTCCAAATTGTTTTGACACTACTACTGCTAAAGCAGGGTCTTCAGCTGTAAGAAAAAACATGTAACTCCTCTGAAATGAATGGGCTTGTCGGTGTGGCTCTGCATTTACCCATCACATTTTATTACGGGTTCAGTTTAACACTATCAGTTTACAGTTTGTTTACAGCTTGTTTTAATTTTATTTCAACTAAAGGAAATAACGTATTACAGAGGATTAGGAAATAGTAATGACTTTGATTATGGTTTAATAGTGGTTGTAAGGTTGTTTTCATTCCCCTAGTTTCTGTTGCGAAGGTTACTCCTATTTTTCAGTTAATCCTCAGCCCAGCTGCATCTTCTCCAGTTTTTCCCACTGATAAATGAATTGTTTTCAAAGTTGCTTGTGTTCAAAAAAGACTAAATTGTATTTATTTTGTTCTGGAAAGTCTTTTAAGCAGAAAATAATTATTAAAAGCAGCCTTAAACCCAGACCAAGTGGAAAATAGGTACTTTAAGTGCATCTCTTTTGCCTTAATTGACAAGTAAGCTCTTATTTATGCCATTTCACAAGTCTTCTTCTGTCTTATTTTCTTTGTAGGTTTTTAGTCTTATCTCCTCTTTCCTATATTAAAACATGTTAATTCCTCTAATTTGTAATGTCCATTTCTATGTCTCATTTTCATTAACACTGGTATTTTTGTTCCCTCATTCAGCATCATAATCTTTACTGGATATTGAGAGAGGATATTTCTGTCGGGGAGCATGCCTGGAATATCTTTTAGCCTCAAATCGTTCTCTTAAAAATTTTATGTCAGGTTGATGACTTCACATTTTTGGAAGTTGAAAGAACTGTTTATGTTGGTTTGAAACAGAATACACCAAACTGTTTGTGCAAAATATACATTTCCCAGGAAATCTTAGAATTTATGGTAGATACCCTGATATGGACCACAACTGTAGGGACGTGTGAGGTTTTTTTTGCTGCAATTTTCTGGCTTTAGTTTTCTAAAGCTATCATCTGCCCTGAAAAGATTTCGTTTTAATTTAAGAATAACAATAATCAGGGGGTTTATTAGGGTATTTTAATAATAATAATAACAACATTTTTTAAAAGATATAATAGCTATTATTTATATATTAAATATTTCCTGATTAAACATTCTGTACATTACAGTTTTTATTCATATTAAATGTTTGTTCCCTTAGACTGTATACTTATGTTTCTTTTTTTCTCACTTCCCTCCCATTTTTGATATTTGTAGTATTATGTATGCTATCTAATTTGTTAGCTTTTGTAGAACCTTAAAAAGACTCCCCTTTAATTAGTATAATCTGGAAGGTCGCTAATCTATATTTCAAGCTGCAAATGTAAGCAATTAATAGTTGCATCTTGTACATCAAATAATTCTAATGGGTGTCCAAGAAATTATTAATTCATTCTTAGAACTAGCATGAAGCCTAGTGCTAGGCTATCTGTTTAAACAATTTAACTGTGTAAGTAATGTAATCTGCATCATTTATTGGGATATGTTCCTAAAATGTGGAAAGTGCTAACCAGAAAGATAAATAATGAACGCAGGATTAGGACGTGAAGAATCACAAGTCTGAAAATTCTTAGTAATTTCCAATTTCATTTTCCAGGTCTATGAGTTAACCTCTCTTCTTGCAAGGTATTGAGTTGATACTTTGTGGAAGTCACATTTATAATGTTTTCTTTGCTTTTGCCAACTCTTTGTTCTTATTAACAGGTGAATTGACTTGGAATTCTTACTTTTGCCTAAATAAATGATTAGATTTAGCTCATAAATATAATCTTCTTCTCACACCCCACAGTCCCCCTTCATCACCTATGCGACAGGGCCTTCTGACATGGATATGGTCTATGTTTTGGTTTTAGAATGCAAAATTATTTAAGGATTATGGCAGTTCTGTCTTTAGTCAGTTTAAAATCCAAGAGAAGCCCTGGAATTACTCGTTTTTCATTTAAAACAGTAGTCAGCCAAGGGTTCTCTGGATCTCAAAAGTGAATGCATTTCTTGAGTGAGATTTTTTGAGTGAGTATGGATTTGAAAAATAGGAGGAGAAAACCATAAAGCCTCTGTTTAATTCCACATTTAATTCTTTTCGTGTAGCAATTTACGTGCAACCATTAACAGTAAATTACTCAAAAGTAATACCTACTATTATCACTGCTGAACACTTTTGATTTCCTTTAAATAATGTCTCCAGTATCTTTTTGCTACCAGTTCTATTTGTCAATATTTACATTAGTTGGAGTCATCCTCTGAAAACTAAAATTCAGTCACTGTCTGTTGATAGAATTTTACCAAATGATGAGTATGCCCATAAATCTTATGTTAGTTTACACTATGGAATGAATTCATAACTTACCCCAAAGCGATAATGTTTTACAGTTCAAAGGCTGGAGGTGGGAGGGAGAGGTTGAGGCTTTTTCTTATTTTTTTTTTTCGACAGCAGTAGCTGAAGATGCTCTTATCTCTTTTTCTTACTGTGAAATAGTCCAGTGATCCCATAGTGGTCTGACCATGAACCAGCCTATTTGGAAAAATGCCAGCCTGGAGTAAAGTGAAAAAATAGGAAGGAATTTAGACAAGAAAGAGAAAGAAATTATTATCTTTTGTGCTTGACTTAGACTTGCTGCCGGAATTTTTTGTGCTCTGAGAATGTAATTTGTTTCATGTCACTGGTCTGTTCATTGACAAGTGTCAGATTGTCACTGACACTGTTTGGATAATCTATGGTAAAATATTTTGTAGCCAGGTAATTAATTTGGGTTAATTCCCGTGCACTGTTCAGTACCGGTGAATAACTCGTATTTTTTTGCTAGAAGGTGAACCGTGTATAATTGGCAAAATGCTTTCTCGCTTTATCTATCAGACTTGAGTTAGCCCTTTCAAAACAAAAAGGGAGGGGTTGCATCTTGAAAAGAATTTTAAACCTTTAAGAATCTACTTCTTTGAAGCCCAGTAATTCTTGAAAAGAGTGTGCTCATTCCTTCTGCAAGGTTTAATCATTAGTTCTTATTTTGGTTTTTTCTGACACATTTGGATCGTTTCAGTCTTTGTATATACGCTTAGATGTAGATGAAACTATTTCTGGCCAAGTATTTCCAATTGTTCTGGAGATACTTTTTGCATACAGCAAGTTCTCCTTTGGATCCATTGATTCATACCCAGAAAGAGACATCGTGGCGAGGTTTGGTGGTGTTATTTTCTTGATGATCCGAAGGAAACAGGTTTTTGCAGCAGAGCGTCAGGGAACGTCTCGCCGACCTTCAAAGGATTGTGGTTGCAAATCCAAAGTTGCCATTTGTAAGGAAGTAAATCACTGTATTTTCATGACATTACATAAACAAGAGAAGCTCGAAAGCCATTTAAAATATTTCTGAAAAAAAAAAAAGTAAGTTTTTCGTAATATCGACTGGTTACATAATCTATATAAAATACACTGACAGTTTTGCTGCCCATACTTTTAACTGCTCTTGCAAAATCCATCTAAAAGCAGTGTATTATCCTTAAGCTGTATGTTGTCTTGAGCATACATATTCCTTTATAATGTACATTTATAACATGGTAAAGCAATAGAAAGGCCAACAAAGTGTGACTTTTTTTTTCCAGTTTATTGATGGTCGACTATCAAAACTAAATGCAGGAAGAGGATTCTCTGATGTTTTTGAAGAAGAAATCACAGCAGGAGGTTTTTGTAGAGGTACAGAATTAATCTGAGTGTACTCATTGACGCTGCTTCTTTGGGAGCTGTTCAACATGATGATGTCCTGTAAATTTTAGAAGTCATTAAACTTGTTGCTGCTTCATGTTTCTATTCATTTTTAGACAGGTTTTAGTCCCTTTACAAGTCAATGTTGGGACACATATATTATGAATGTCATTTTACCAGTATATTTAATGGAGGTATGTTGGTCTAATCCAGTAAAATAATACTTGGGTTTCAGTATATGATGAAGTATCTCTGTTATTTACATTTTTAACAGCACATTTATGTAATATGATACATTCTGTGTAAACTGTATTTTGGAAATTTGTGCTGCTGAACTTTTTTGTTTTCCATAAACATTTCTCATTTTCGGGTTTTTTTTCACATCTTATTATGTCTGCAGTGCAGAAATCAGAGTGATTTCTTGAATTTTTAGAGAAATCTGCTTTCTCTGACAAACATGTTACTCTCAAAAAGAAGGAAAATCGTGATATTTATATCTCATTGGAGAAGGACAAAAATAGTATTCATTGTGTTGTTTCCCTCATTGATGTTCACTGGCAATTAGCTGGCGTACGAAGTTAACAAAGAGTGTGTGCGTAAGCCATTCCTGATTATTATGTGATTGTTGAATTTTTTTTTTTATTGAACACTTAGTAGAGCTATGGTGTTGTTTGAGGTAGATGCTATCAAAATACTCAATCACAACATGCCTGACACGGCACGGAAACCATTTTATGGATCCTGCTCTGGCAGGGGGGTTGGACTAGATGATCTTTCGAGGTCTCTTCCAAACCCTGACATTCTATGATTCTAAGGTCAGTCTTGAAAGTAGTGTAGAAGCCTCCTCAGTGAATTGAGGTGGTGTGATTTGAGCAAATCCCCTGGCTTGCAGCTTTAGATGGTCTTCCTTTGCAAGACTACCTGGAAAGGGCCAGATGCATAGGAAGGGATTTGACCCCATGGAGAAATCATCGAATGGTGCAGTGCCATCTTCACCTTCTGCAAAATGCCTTTTTTTTTGAGTGCATAAATCCTTTAGTTGAAGTTTTCCACTGCCTTCTACCCTCTGTGTCTTGTGCTGCGATCTAGCACATAATTTGTGGTGATTTGTTTTTCTTGTTTAAAGCATTCTTAGTTATACAGAGATTTACTTCTTTTCTGCCTTTTTAGGATAACTTACGCTGCTCTGTGAACAGATTTTAGGCATTGAGCATCCATTATCCAGATAGGCGGTGTTGGTATTCCAAGTTCATTTGCTGCCAGCCGTTAGGGGGTCAGGAGGCTGCAGTAAAACTGCAATCAAAGTTAGATAAAGCTTGTTTTTTTGGCTGCACTCCGGCAGCCTGTGAACCACGTCTCACCTGGAGGAGCTCAGGAGGGAGCGCTCGGCGTCGCTGGCAGCTCTCGGTTCGATTGCACCGCGTGCGTGCTTTTCAAATCAGACAAGCTGTACGTTTGCAGGCTGTGGACAAATTGCTCAGGGCACATATTCAGTATTTACATAACTGCTGTCTCATTATCGTTATGAAGTGCAGGGCTAACAATATGTATGCAATTGAAGGTGACACTTTGTGACGCTAATGGGGTAGAACTATGATCTCTTTGCAGAGTTAACTCCCATCAACTTTATCAGGAAGCCCAAGGTTTTTAAAAAAACAGGTGAAACGCAGCCTTCAGAAAAGTCACCGAAAGTTAGTGTAAGCTACAAGCTGTTAAAAGGACAGTGGAACAGATTTTTTTGTCAATTGGGAGTGCAGTTTAAGAATTACCAAATCAAATGGAAAGTGTTTCTAGCTCTTTTTAAATTTGTATTTTTAATCTCTTTTGAAATTTTTATTTTTCCACATATGCAAACATGACTAAACCAGCACAGAAAAAGAAACTGGAAACTGTAGGATAAATCTGAGATTTCATAATTTTTTTTATGTTTGTGGGGTTTTTTTTTGGTTTGATTTCGTTTGTTTATTTTTCTGGAAAAATTGTCAAAACTTATTTCTCTGTGACTCTATGTGAAAAGGAATTTGTCATTTTCATCACAATTTGCACTTTATACTTAAAATTTTATTTTCTGTTACATGTTTTGTTCTGTGGAAGTATTAGTTCTCAAGAGTTTTGTTTAACTTTCAATGCAAGAGTATAGCGATGGCTGATTGGCTTAGCACTTGGATTTCTTGTAGAATACATCCATTAAAATAATTTTTACTTACATCAATTTTAGTACAGCAGTCATTTTTGTTGAGCTGGTTTAATATCAATGGTAGTAGTATAAGGAAAACTGAAAAAGTGAAAACCTTTGAACCTCTCTTGTAGTAATAATTTAGTTTATGAAGTCAGCATTTTCCTGCTAGAGTTTCAGGAGGTTCATTTCTAGCCGAGTGTGGGCAATTTTAAGGTGGCCTTCTCTGGAGATGAATATTTATCTGTTTTCTTTATTGCCTTCGCTGAAGTCTCTTTACACAACTAGTAGACAGTTAAACTTCTTGAGTGTTTTTCTGTGATCTCATTTACTGTCTCTACTAATTGCTTAAGTCATAGACTGTGACAGAGAAAGCTGAGGCACCCCGAGCCAGATGATGTATGAGTATTGTGGGTAAGAATTGGAAGTTAGGAAATGTCATGTTAGAGAAAGTACTCACGGTTCATTGAAATTTCATTAACATACTAACAGTGGTTAAATGTCACCTTATTACACATTATTTGCATGCTGCCTTCTCTGGTAGTTCCAGGGAGCCAGATTAGGGAAGTGAGAAAATGTGATTCATTTTGCTTTTGGTTGCTTTTTGATGTTCTTACTGGAGATAGGATCATAATGATCATCTGGTTCTCTCCTTTCTAAGCAAGCATTTCTTTTACTTCTACCAGCATTCCCGAGAGCTTGGCTGCATCAAAATTGCTTGTAAAAATTTTTGTGCAATGCATGAAAATGCCTGATACGAGTATGAGCAGCTCAGATTTTTCACCTCATTGAGAAACTTGAGATTACCTGTTACAGGGATCCAGGAGAATGTTTTGGCTTTCCACCAGCCAATGCGGTAATTCCACCCAAGCCTTAGTTAATCGATAATTGCAAAGCTTAAGAAGTTTTGAGAACTCCTGCTAAAAGTCTGTAACGTTGAGGATGGGTCAGTGTGGTGCTTGCAGAATGGATAAACTCTCTGAGATTTTAGCATTCTTGTCATCACGAATGTCTCATCTAGGGTTAGTAACAGCTCACAGTGGTGGAGTATTTGAGTGGCTGATGTCCTCCAAAACTTTCTTAGGGATCGTGGAACCAGTCTTTGGTGTTCCTGGGAAATAGTATTCATTTCTTCATCAAGTGCTTGGTAGAATTTGACCCTGTCCTTCATGGCCAGCTTAGTGGCGCAATAGTCCTAGAGGAGCCAGTAGTTTTCCCTTGCCTTTTAGAGGTTTTCCTTTGCAAAAGACAGTAGATGCAGTTAATAAAGGATTTTTTTCATACACAGTTGTGCTATAATCCTTACACTTTTTTCTCATTATTTTTCCTTCGGATGGTACCATCAGCAGTCCATGTCATTTTTGTACGTGAAAGTTTGCCCAGTGGGATCATTATGCTTGAATGCAGTTCGTTATATGTTATTCTTTTTTTCAAGTTGGTGTTTTTCTTTCTAGAGGATTTTAGCATGTTATGTTACCTTATCATAGTTTTAATTTAATTTTCTACTTCAATTGGAATTAAAAACCCAGTGTAGTGAAAAGGTGCTTTCACAAAGGAAACAGAAAGGAGGAAATAAGAGATACTTAGGTTTTTTTCTTAGCGTACACATACTCTTATCTTTACATTCCTTGTCTATCTGGGAAGAAAGAAATTAATGAATAATCTTCTAAGGGAATTTTTTATGCAGATCGTGAGGAGGGTTGAAACATTTATGGTGTTGAATGTATGTTGTGTTACATTTTACGTTTCTGTTTCAGGAAATTCAAGATCTTATCAGCAATGGATGCATACAGTGAAGGTATAAACTTGGTTAAGTAATTATACTGACCATCTTGTTCTTTAAATTTTTGCCTTTTTCCTTACATATATGTAATGTTAAAAGCTCGTTCGTTTGTAAGGAAAATACAAGTACATTCTATGATAAATAACATTTCTGTAATATATGCAATAACTGTGGGTTTTTTCTGTGAAGATTTTTTTTAAAAGAAAACACACACAAAACTAATGCCCAAACACACAATATTTTTCTGTCTCTGTATTCCATAATTTCACTGTTTTCTATATCACGTTACATTCTGTAACTGTGAATTAGGTGTGACAGTACAATTTGATACTAAGTTTATCACTTCTAGTATGGGCTAGCAGAAGACCCTTGGTATAACCTTGTTATTCTACAGGATTATTAAAACACATTATTTTAGATTAAGGGAATTCTAGTGTGGTTAAATGAGATAGTTCTTTCTGTCAGGTCAATGTATTTTTAAGTTGCCTAATAAATATGATGGGAACACGTGACAAAATAGCCGTAGCTTCTGAATTGATTTTGAAATGTAACAACAGATGAAGAATGAAAAGACATCATTCAGTTAGAATGCATTGATAAACGTGTCAGCCGGGATAACGCCGTACGGAAACCCTTGTGCAGCTGCAGACAGCCGGCTGGGGAGGAAACACAGCTGTGGTCAGTCTTACTGTTTTAAAAGGAAGATTGCTGTTTCTTTACAACACGTCGTTTATTTTTCCTTGCTGTTGTCTTGAAGTTTGACTTGTGTTAAAACGTTACTGAAATACTTTTTTTTCTTTATTTCAGAAAGGCGGTGCACTGATCAACACAGCAATGACCAAAGCTACTCCAGCTGTGAAAACAGCATATAAATTTGTAAGATTATCTTAATAATACATAGAAATACTGCAACCTCCTTCAACCTTTAATTCTTCCTGAATACTTGAAAACCTAAGCATTTTATAAATGTTTTGGAAAAAACATTTATAAGCCTGTACAAAGTTTTCAGCTTCATTTCTCTTCTCGTATTGCACCAGGATTTCGAGTTGATTCAGAGTCTTCCACATAGCTTGTACATAACAATAGACATTTTCAAAGCATCAGTCGGCTGGTTTTATTTCATTTTGTAATACATGCTAGAAGCTTATTTGAATAGCATTGAAATATTTGATACGCAGCTCTACACTCTTCCTAACCTGGTGAGAACGTGACTAAATTAAGGACTCCGAAAAGAGAAATTCTTATTTACGTTAAGGTCCTGTAATACCACATGGACCTTGCAGAAGTAATGTGAGAATAAAACACTTCGTAAATGTTGAATTTATATGTAGTATAAATACAATGTTATGGTATATAATTACATAGTGTGTAGTGTGAACATGATGGAGAGCTCTCTATTCAGAAGAGACAAGGTTCGTGATGGACAAGTGGAGTTCTGCTTTGCACAGGTGCAATTTCCCTTTGTCACTAAGTGCTGCCCTACTGAAAAGATGCGGTAGAGCATCAGTAAGGCGTGCAGCACATCTTTTCTGTCATCTCTTTTAAAGGTGGTAGTAAAATACTCATGTATAACTGGATTTAATGCTTTTACTTTTCAGTTTAAAATGTCTTCTTTCCAAAGACTGCCTGGCAATAAAGCATTATACAGTATTATGCACTATGGAAAAAAACCAGCAATAGTGTGAAGTAAAGTGGGAAGTATTTTAAGGTTGCATTTTTAGTATATGGGAAAAGGCTTCCTTTTTGCTTTTCCAAATGTTTCACTAGTTGGATGTGTAATAAATAGTCCTGAATAAATCAGTACATCAGTCTAAGCTAGTGTATTTTAAGTAGAGTTTTCAAACTGAATTTTTAATTTTACATCAGTTGAAAAACACAGCAGTCGTGGAGAGGAACAGGTAAACAAATTAAACAAACTTCATATTCATGGACTTATTTATAATTTTAAAAAGGGTTCATTAATAGGTTATCTACAAATGGTTCTTCTTCAGTTTGCACTAGTTTATGCTGTAGTTACATGATCTTCTCCCAGCCTTCCATTTTGATAATTATGTCCTTCATGATAAAGACTTCAAAGTGAAGTTTTGTGTATGTCAGAAAACACGGGTATATTCTGTAGAGAGTCTGTGTGTATAAGGTATTCATATTTATACCCTGTTTAATTTCTTGTACTGTTGCCCTTTATGGAGCCTACTGCTGGAGAAATGAAATATGCGTTCCTTAATTGGTAGCCTTGAGAAATGTGCTTGGTCCCATCCCTCAGAGTTAGAACAAAGTGCTCCAAAATTCATCCAAATGCTGTGAGCATGATCTGGAAAGTTTAAAGTGGCTCTCAGGTTAAGATCTGCTATGTGGCCCCCCATTGTGCTGTTACTGAGCTTATAGATGTATGATTTAAGGATCAAAAAACTTCTCTGACCTCTTACTTCGAGAAAACGATTTTCTTTTCTTGAATTTCCATGTATAAAAAAAAAGAAAAGTAGGGGAATACGTGGTTTCCACTTAACATTTTTAAGTCCTGTTTTTAAGGCAGCCTTGAAAACTGTTGTGTTTTCTCCCGTATTCATATAAGGTACTTTTTCTTGTATCAAGGTTAGGATTTTGGGAGTCATTCCTTCCTCTTCCAGTCCCAGTGCATGGCAATGTTTTTTAGCTTAAGTACGTGGTATTCAGTATTGATAATTCCTTTCTCTGTTGAAGAACATTCTTGGCTGTTTTCTATGCAAGAGTGATCTTGGCTGCCTATTTTAATAGATACAGAATCCTCCCCTAAATAGCAGCACTATGCTGTTCAGCAACACTGGGCAAAATCTCCATCTGCATATGAAATCACTTCATTTCTCTTAAGATTGATGTTGCCCTGCAAGTTGCCAGACTGAAACACCGTAGCAGTCATCTTGAAAATCTTAACATTTTTCCCAGCAAATACCCTTTCAAATTTAAAGGACCATTTCAAATAAAGGAGTGATGCTTATGGTCATATTTTAGCCTGTCCTTAGTAATATTGGAGGATTTTTGTGGATGTTTTCACAGCATTGTCATGCATGTACTGACAAAAAAATCCTTAAATATATGGACAAAGTGTGAATATAGAAAATAGACAGAGCACATATGAAATTTCTGGTAACGGTTATTGCCTTTCTTTATATCAGCAGATATTTAAAGAAAAGGTAAACAAAGTATGGCCTCATAAAGCACATTTCATGGTTACAGCCAGTCTCTTGCAGAGCTACTTAAGTCCTTTTGTTTTTCTAGGCAAAAAATCAGGCAAAGCAAGGAATAAAAGAAGTGAAGAGTAAGTTAAAACACAAGGTACGTAGTACACTTTTTACTTTCTTACATTGCTTCCTGTATCAGTCTGAAGCTTATACTTTACAAATCACATGAGATTTGTGTTTTTAATGACTTTTGAAATATGCTTAGCCCTTTGTTCAACAATACATTTTTCATAACAAGCCCTCGGGCAACTATCTGTCATTCTATGCATCCACTGAATAATCTCTTTATTGTTTGCATATTTTATCGTAGAACAACAGAGGTCTTCAAAGATACATTAACAGGATGTATGTTTTCATAAAGTTGACTGCTTTGATATCACAATCGAAGCCTTTGCTTCAAGCTGCGAATTTGAGATGGGAGAGTCTTGCTGTACAGTGTATTGCAGAAGGTGTAGTTGTCCCTTTTTGGTTTTGTAAGATACATGAACAATGGCAACGTTTAAAAACAAAGGAATAGTTATTTGATTTTTGCAAAAACAACGCTGCAGGAGTATCGGAAAAGATGATTTAGGTGTTTCGCAGCTGCTTTTCCCATTGAAAATTTTGTTTCCAAATAAAATTTCTCTGTGAGGAGAAGGAACTGGTTTTTAGACGTATTTTATGCTATTTTAAGAAAACTTTCAAAAATATTTCCTAGATTCATCTTTTGCATGACAGTGTTGGTAATTCAGCTTCTTGAAAAGCTGAATTTGATTTTCTTACTACAGATGGTATTTTCATGACAGTAATAGATTGTGCAAGATAATTTTGAATGCATTCTGCATGCATAATACGAAGGGTGCGTTTGCAGATAATGATTATTAATCAAGGAATTAAAATTTGTTTTGTTGTCTAGGAGAGTGAGGAAGAGTCTGGAACTTGCAGTGCTGGTGCAGCGCAGGCTGTTCCCGTCTATACAACGCATTATGAGAAAAGAGCAAGCTCAGAAAAACGAAGACTGGCACAGGTAAGACACCTGAAACTTTTATTGTTATTCACCTACAAACGAAGCAGATTTTTTGCCACTTACAGCAATGCATTGGTGAGTCTGTTTAAGATTATTTTACTGCCTTTGTTTGAGAGTGATTAAAAGGCTGTGTTTATAGAAGTACTGCTCTATTGCTCAAGTGGAGAGAAAATGCTATTTCTATTTCATCCCTGTTGAGAGGGGGAAAAGCCAAGAGATTTATAGGTATGGATCGGAGATTGAATTCTTAAATACTGTTTTCGATAAAGGCTTCTCACAGCAAGTCCATTCTAGTCGGTTCACAGGTCTGTGTTAAGCCATCGTTTTAGTTTCTTAGAGTGGAGCACATTAATTTTCAGTTTCTATGAAATCAGTTTGACAATCACATGACCTTTATTTTTGCTTAGATAGTTGTGATTTATTATTTCATTAGTAAGTCAGCTAGTTAATGTGGTGCCAATCTCTTGTCCTTTTGTTCTCTAATCCTTTCTACTCTTGATTTGAAGTAACAGGTGTACTGTCTCAACTTTGGCAAGTGTTTTAATGTCTTTGGATTTATTTTGACAGTTTTATTTCAAACATACCAATAAAATAGTTTTTGTAACACTTTTTTTCCTGGAAATAAGTACCTGCATGTGTGTATATTTTAATGTGTGGGTTTATTTTTTGCATTATATTGTTGCATGTTTTTAATACATGTGATGAATATATACAGATTTTTAATGCATACATCTTCCTCATACGAGAATTAAGTATAGAAATTCAGTGCAGCTGATCTAGCAACACTGGAGTTTTACTTTGGATATTGCAATAATAAAAATCTGAATTTTGTGTTTAACAATTTGGTTTTGCATTATTTTTGAATTAGTTTTGAATTATTATATGCAGCAGTTATAAAGTCCATGAAATTTAACATAGAACTGGTGCAGATTATTGCTAAATGACGTTGAAATTATACTAAGTCATTGTTTTTAGTGGGGTTATAAATAATACAAATACTTTCTGCTTTAATTATTTAGGCGGGTTTTACTTTGTACATGTTTTCACGATCTCTTGAAGCCAGTGATAAAGGTTTAAACTGTGTGCCCTCAGTATATTTTTACATGCAGGCAGCTGTAGTGCCTGCACTCTCCTGGGAACTGGTGTACAGTGGATTTTCTTCACTGAGTATCAGAACAGAAGATAGAAAATTCTAAATGTATGAACTCTAATGTTAATAATATGTTAATGAACTGTTCTTAAAATATTATTTCTGATAGATAACTGTCATTTCGGCATATAGCAACCTCCCGCCACCTAAATAATTTGATGATGTGTGCTACTAAAGAGCTTTTAATGCGCTGTAAGCCAACATTCACTGATTAGTGTAGGTGAATCGACAGTTGTATATATCCATGTAAATACATAACACAAATGTACCATTGTGGTTAGCGAATTCTTATAGGCTGCTTTTATTAAAGAGATCTGCAGTAATTCACTGATGTGGTCAGGCTGCCTCCTGTTTGGTGCAGGAATCTAGAGATACCAAGGAAAATAATTTCTACTAAATAACGTTTCTACTGGTCATCTTTTAATTCTGAAAACCAGCCAGGAGTGCCTATCCATCCATGATTCTACTTACACGGCTACATACACAAATCCGTGTCCATGTGTGTGCATACGCGTGGACACATACAGGGTTTGCTTACTGGCAAGGCTTGAAACGACTAGCCCCACAGTTTTACGCTGCTATGAATGAAACGTCCCATGTCTTCTCCCCAGCTCTCGTCCAGAATTGTCCCCTGAGCCCCGTGGGCAAGAGGGAGCGAGCGGTGATCACTCTGCAAGGCCTCCTTCACCTCTCACTCACGCTATTCCCACTTTTTCCTCCCCCCCACCAAAGCAAAGAAGCCAAAATATTTCTAAAAATTACTAGTCTACTGTTTCTTTTCTTGTTTGTATTGTTGTTCTTGGCATGTGCTTGAATAAGATAACATGAATGCAAGTTCTTAACAAGGACGTGGTGATTTTAAACTCTACGTCCGAATAAGAATACGTGTTTGTATTCACAGGGGCGTGTGTATGAGACACTGTGTTTGATCTAGTACTGAATCAGCTGTTTAGAAAATTGAATTTCACAGGTTCCTATGTTGTCAGGTTTAATCCTTTTTATTCTGCAACTGAACCTTCCCACCCAGATTTCTGAAGTGGTGAAATGAGAGTCTGTAGCGGTGTAAGGGTAGTGCTTAGGTGCAGTTTATGCACTTTGAGTGATAGATATATATATTTTGATGTATATTTGAAGTAAGGACCAGATATTAAGTTGCAATGCCGGCATATTTGAATATTTCTCCCCCAAGCCTAACCAAACAGCAAACAAAAGAGAGAGATTGCTTTTCGTGGTCATCTCTCTTCCAGACAAGAGGCACCTCTGTGTTTTATTGCTATCTCTTCCTTACTGAAACATTCAGGAAGTTGTAAATATGAAGGATTTAGTCTTACACTTTACGTTGTGTTAGATGCATGCGCTGAGCTTTTCATTCTCTGTTTCTTGTAATCAGTTAAACACAAACACTGACTAATAGTTACCTATTAACATATTTATTTTGAAACATTATGTAGGTTATGAAAGTTTCCTTCACTGTAAAAGATCATTTTAATAATTGATTCATAACAGAATTTTGGGGTCTGGGAGGATGTTTCCTTTACGATAAGAAGCGAATCTGCTTTTACCCCAACAAGCGACAGTTTGTGTGTGGGTCTGCTAATTAGTACGGTTATTTCCTGTTTTGTTGATGAGTCTTTAATAAATGTCAAGGGTACAGCCATGAAGATCTCCCAATTAGGCTTTGCGTTTGTAAAACCCAACCCCTTTGCTTTTGTGTGAAGATGACAGTTCCAACTGCAGCCTCAGCCTAACAGGGCTCAAGGGAAAGGATACTTCTCTGGTTTTATTGAAAACAAGGCCAGTTTGGCCCAGGGAGAATACCAGCACTGGTCACAGTGCAGAGCCGTTTTTAACAATGAATATTTACTAAGCTTTATCATTGCTGTCATTGTTAGTTGGGTTTTGCATTTCATTTTTTTTTTTCCTCCGGATTGGCAATAGACTTTAAAAAAAATATTTGGAAAATCGAACCCAATTCTAGCATGTGAAATAGCTGTCAAAACCTAATCAGAAGATAAATAATTAATTGCGAACTGTAGTGATCAGCTTGCCCTCCTGTTATTTGCATTTTGTAAGTGTTTCCTGAAAAAAAAATAACGGGAGCACGCTCTTATGTGCCTGTGTGCACGCGCGTGCACGCACACACGATTAATCTTTGCCTAAGATGAATTGTTCTATCTCCGTAATATTCATTTGAGCTCACTGTTGCCTAGCTTAGCTGTTCTAGGCTTTTTATACGTACGCAAGCTTAAACTGTATTTCGAGTCAACGTTAACAGATGGATTGCCCTAAGCAAGGGAAAACCACAACAAAATCCAGTGAAAGTGGAGGATTGAAGCTTTTTATTGTTAAGCCTTATTAAAACCTTGGCATGTGCACTGCTGTTAACTGTTTCATGCCTAGATCTAATAATACATCTCTGGTGTGTTTTTATCTCTTACGTTTATTAAGTATGTAGAAGATACATGAAATTACCCACTGAAGTTTTTGAAATAAAAATGAATACAAGCATGAGATTGCTCCAACTCTGCAGTATCTTGCCAACGATGTTGCTGAATTCCTTTAACTGTTGATGAGAAGGGATGGCAGTGCATGTGTTACACTGCTGTGCATTCAGGTTTTGCATAATCTGTTTTAATTCTGTTTCGTTATATGCTCCCAGGTAATGCAGATTTCTGAGTAGGCAGGGCTCTACATGCAGTGAGAGTTCTATAAAATTATTCCAGATTAATATATAATTAAAAAAGAGAGCATGTTTATTATAAGCCAGGGTAGAATGCCACAAAGAGCTGTTGGATTTCATGAATATGATCTTAGTAATTTTACTGTTACGTCGGGTGGTAGGGATGCTTATTAAAAATGGAGCGTTTCAGGATGTCAATAGTCCTAATGTATCTCGTGACTAATAAAACATTCTTGAAGATTTGCAGAACACCAAATAAGAGCCACCAGTTTGCTTTTTCTAATTAGCAGGTTAGCAATGCCTCCTTGTCTCTAAGGAAATGTCGGTGATACCTGTTCCTTTAGGCACGTGCTGCCGGGGTGGAAACGGATTCCAGGTGTGGATTTATCAGGAATCCCTGTGTGTCACTACTACTTTAAATGTTCATATATTGAAGAAGCTAGGTGAACTGCTTCCCATGACTTTGCAGGTTCTAAATCTAGCAGCGAAGAAAGTTTAAAAAACAGTTTTGCATAAGGTAGTAAAAGCCAAGTTAGACTGAAGTCTTTTCTTGCAGAAGAGAATTACCATTTAAAATTAATTTTTAAATGCACGTTGCAAGTGTAGCTCTTCCACTTTCATTGAAGTATATCCTAGTAACTAGGCAATATGTAATTCAACTTGCAGTGGGTATACTTGGCTGCTGTTCAACAAAGACCGCAAGTGTCAGGCAGGAAGATGTGTTCAGAATAACCTTACCTTCAGGAGTCCCCATTTATCAATACCCCTGCAATGGCCAGTAAATTAAATGGCATAATCATTAGGTGCAAAGGACTTTTCTGGTAACTGATTACCCTCCTAACCTGAAAAAAGGGTATGAGAGTGGGCTATTCTGAAGACTTTTGGTTTTGTGGGTTTTTTTTATTTCTGGGAACATAGACAAGGAAATGCTTGTGATAATGCAGTGCTGAATATGCATATTCTGTATAAGGTGACTCAACCCTTTAAGGTAAAAAACAAAAGAGATTAATATAGTCCTGCAGACAACCCCACAATAATTTCAGAAATAGAAATGCCCTTAATCAGAGCTTTTTACCCGTGTTTCGATTCAGAAAATGTGCTTGAGATCACATCCATGCCTGGCATCCACAGATGTAGCCAGGGGTGCCTTCTACTTTCTTTGACTAAAAT